CATTTTCCATCAGCCCCCCCTCAAATGTTTGAGGTGGCTTTGGTGTAGAAGGTAAAAGCTACAAAGGGTCAAGACTAATGACAGGGAGCTTTTGTAAAAAAAAATATTTTTTTTTTTGGCTTCAGCGATATTTCAGCAAACCCTCTTCATTGGTCATCTTCAGACTGTTCTAACAAGCACATCAAGGGTAGGTTTCCTCCTGGAAAGCCTTAGGAGTTTTGGCTGGGTTCTTTGCACATGACTGTAAGGTCTGGAGTGAATCAATCCAGCTATTTAATTCAGAGGTGGCTCAGATGATCTGTCCAACTCAGGCCCAAGCCCAGCTCTGAACAGGAGGAGGCAGCTGGGCACCTGTGCTCTCACCCTCACATCAGAACAGTAAAGCTTCCCAGGTCCCCTCTGCCACAGCCCCTGCCCAGCACAGAGGGGCAGTTCAGAGTTGTGCCTTCTCCTCCATGTCAGCAGCCACAAAGCCTCACAGAAGCTGCATGTCAATAGCTCTTTGGTGTCTTCTGTGATCACTGTGGCTCCTGCTAACTCCCCCAAATGCACAAAGCTGGGCTTTTGGGGTTTTTTCCAAGACTTTGCTTTTGGAAGTTTTGTGGTAAAGGATTGGGTAACAGGTCAGCCCAGCTCCTGGGGCTAATGTTAAGGAGACGTGCTGGGTACAGCAGCTCCCACCATCTTCTGACAACATCTTTTTCTACCTCTAGAGCTCCTCACATCTCTCTCTACCCTTTGGTACCCTCTGAAGAAGAGGTGGAATGCCTCAGCAGTAGTGCCTAGGTCTCACTCCCAGCAACATCTCATGGATTAAAGACAAAAAAATACGATATACGTGCCATATTTCTAATTGCCCTCCCTCTCCCTGCCCTCGCCCAGCAGTGCTGGAACACAGGCTGCGACACAGATCCCCCCTCCCAAGCTGGGGAACACTGTGTAGCCTTCAATGGAAAAAGCAAAGATTAATTTTGACTGGCCCCTAGATCTGTTGAGGTCTGAAACTGTAAAAGTTTATGTAAACAATGAGATAAATATATTAGTACTTTTCTGAGCCAAGTGAGGTTCCATACTCATTCAAATGTGCTTTGGTTTAAAAAATAGTTTTGTGAATTTGGGTATGAGCTTCTTTATTCTTTTATACAACTTTTGCTATTTAATCTTTTTTTTTTTTCCTGTTATTCCGAAAACATTCTGGAACTAAGTGACTAAAGCATATACTTAAGCTGCCTGGCCTCTTTTTTTCTCTCTTTTTTTTTCTTTTTTTTTTTTTTTTTTTTTTTTTTTTTGTTTTTTTAAATAGTTTTATTCCTCTTGAGGCTCTTTTTGTATTTAAAAAAAAAAAAATTAAAAAAACCAAATCAAACCAAAAAATGCAAATCCCTCCCCCCCCCAAACTCTTAAAATCTTAAATATGAAACTAGTGTTTTGCTTTCTCATTAAAATACAGAAAAATGTTTGATACAATACTATGTCGTACAAATGCAGTTGAGTGTTTAGGCCCCAAGCAGGCCTGAAACAGTCCCTGAAGTTTTGAGTATTATTAGTTATTCATTATTACTGTCACAATTTGGAAAATGTTGTTTATACTCACTCTATGGAACGCAACTTTACACAGCTACTTGAAAAAAGAACAAAATCTCCTTTTGTACAATACTCGTGCTGTACACAGACTTTATGTCGTATCGTTTAAGTGCTGGGGAGGGAATAAAGTAAAAAAAAAAAAAGACGCTCCAAAAATTGTTTTTTCAAAAATAGCACTGGGTCCTGAAGCTTCACCATGATTCTCGAGGCTTAAGAAGCAAATGAAGAGGGGGTGGGACTGGGGCGAGAGGCTGCATCACCCACACACATGCTTGTAAAAAGGGAATGAAGTGAGGGGAAGCAGATTATTTGCCCTCTGAGGAGCTCAGTGCTTCCTCACACCCTGGGCTGCTCTGTGGCTTGGCTCAGTTGGTCACAGCTTAAGCTGCTGTCCCAGGGGTGGCTTCTGCACAGACACCCACCTGCCGTTCCTATCACTGGCCACATGCCACCATGGTGGGGGACCCATCTCAGCAAACTGCAGGGGCCACAAGTCAGTGGGGGAATCCCCCATCCAAAACCCACAGTGGGGGACAGGGCTCATCACCAGCTATGCCCTTCTCACTAAGGGAGCTAAAAATTGCTTTGAAAATCTGGACTTGATGGGTCCTTAGCAGGGCAGCAAGGGCAGCCTGCTCTAGCTATTGCCCAAGCCAGCCTGGGATTCAGCTCAGGTTTAGGATAGTTTGAGGGAAGGTAAAGGCAGGGTGAAAGTGCCTAGGAGCTAATCTTGCACGGCTGTCCCGGGGCCCTGCTGAGATTTGCTCTGAGAAAAAAGTAGTGGCAAGGCCTTCCCTGTCCTCCCCAAAGACTATTCTGGGGATGTTCTCAGGGTGAGTTTGGCAAGGAATCAAGGAGAAAAGTATTCAATATATATTCAAAATGTGGAAGTGCTAAAGACACTAAAAACCCACCTAACGCCCCAAAATGAAACAGCACATCTCAGCACAATTAGAAAAAAAACAGAAGTCCCTGCTCCCCTCACATGCTCCACAGCTTGCAGGAATCTGGCAGCAAGTGGACAATGGCACTGGGAGAAGCACAAGAGGGGCGAGAGTGTTCCCTGTAATGTGACACCAGGCCAAGGCTCAGCGCCTTTGGGTTGACTATTGCTTGGAGCCTGGATTCCAGTTTCCTCAGTTCATTCAATTGACCCAAAAACTTCTTATGGACTAGCCTACCATAACAAAAACAAAACAAAACAAACAAAAAATAAAACACCAAAAAAAAAACAAAAAACACAACACAAAATAAACAAACCCAAACCAAACAAAAAAACCCAATAAAACCCACAACAAAACAAAACCAAAAACCAATTAAAAAAATGAAGCTTATATTTCTTTGTTTTAGTCAAACATACTTTTTTCTTTCTTTTTCTTGGTTGGTTTTTTTTTTTGGTCGAAACTTAAAAAAATGTTTTGTTTTGTTTTTTTTTTAAAAAAAGACAAAACGTGAGGTTTGGTAAACCCTACACAGAGAGACTACATTGGTTTGAGTGGGGGTGGGGGGAAAAGCCAAATGAAAAAACACAAGTGTAAACCTTACTCAATTCAGAAGGGATGATTCTACTGGCTGTGAATTTTTACCACCACAGTCACAGGAGGCCTGAAATAAGCCATAGCTTTCCACAAGGTCACGCCAACAAAGTCAAGGGGGCCAAGAATCAGTGGGCTAAGTTCTCTGTCTTCTCTCCTAAACCAATAGCAGCTGTTGGCTGTGATGTCTTATGCAGATGTTGCAAGAACATTTTGTTTCTTTTTTTTTGTTTCTTTTTTGTGTGTGTGCGTGTGTTAAATTGTCTAAAAGGGAGGATATGAAACACTTTGGTTTGCTTTTTCCTCCTCTCCCCCACCTTATTGCACTCTGGATTCTAGTAAATTATAGGCTGCTATGCCCTCACCCTCTGTCCTGCCAGGTGTTTACAGACTGACCCAGATGTGCTGGGGGAGTGGAAGATGAGGGGGACATTTTCCCCTCCCCATAGTATCCAGATTCAATAAACAAAGCTGGAAAGGACCCAAAAAACTCAGAGAAGTTTTTCTTCTTTTATCTGAAAGAGACTACAAACAGCCAAGAGACTGTGAATGAGCCAGTCCAAGCAGCTTCCCCAGCCTCTGGCTCAAACATAGTTTTTGCTTTGTCTTTGGCCAAGTTTTGCTTTACCATTTCTCTAGCTGACTTTTGATGGAAGGACGGGGTGGTAAAAATCCCTTAACTTTTAATTTAGCTTCTACTTTTATACATTTAATTACTTATAATAAGAGAAACAAAAAAAAAAAAAGCCTAATCTTTCACTAACCATCTTATTGTTCTCATGAATTCAAGAGGTAGCAAAGGTTACAAGTCTGTCCACACAGACTTGCTCTTTAGTGAGGGAGGAAAGCTAAAAACATACACACACACAAAAAATAAAATAAAAAATAATAAAAAAGTACCTAAGGAACTTGTAGCAAGTCCAGCCTACATCAAACCCCCTCCCCACCCACCCACCCTAGAATTAACCTCAGACCTTCCAGTTCAAACATTCACATAAACGTTACAATGGTTTTTCCTTTAATAAAACAAGTACCTCTAAGCAAAGAATATTAATACGAAACTACTAGAAAAGTAAAGACGACCCCCTGCTCACTGAAAGAAATTCCCAGGGCATCCAGTCCCTGTTCAGTCATGGGTAAGGCAGGAGAGGTTGGTGTTTTGTGGGAAAAGGTGGCATATGGTTCCGTGTGCCAAGGATAAAGATCAAAACCTAAAGAGGCAGGGATGGTAAGGGAGGCATTGCCGTTTCTTTAAGTGAAGTTCTTGGGCTGGTGCACTCTTCCCACCATCGCTAGCCCAGAGGAATGGTGATGGATTCCATCACAACTATGGCTTTCCCACAGTATCTGAAGGGGCTGACAATCCTGTGAGATGGTCCACAGCCAGAGCTTCCGCGCTTGTGAACGCAATGCTGTTCTTTCACAGCTACTTAGGCCACTGAAAAGGTGTACTGCATTCTCTTTTTAATGGCAAGAAATGCCCCTACTGAGTTTGGTTTAAAGAGAGAAGGTGAGTAGGGTGACAGTAACATAAAGAAAGAAGTAGGGAGGGGGGGAGCCAGCAGAGGCTGAAAGCTCCCTATGGTCCCCCACCTGCTCCAGATAATCGATACGGCAATCAAGGAAATAAGGAAATGTGCGCAAAAAGAAGTGGCATTTCTTGCCAGATCACCAGGATTTGGAGGGAGATTTGGGCTAAATGCATCAACTTGGCTGTGGACCTCTCTTTTTTTTTAAAAAAAAAAAGGGAAAAAAATGAACTTTTTTTTTTTTAATGTTAAAGCTACATTTGTTTAGGCCTCCTATGACTGAACAGAGTATGGGGAGTTGCCCCCTTTTTTGTCTGGTTTTTTTTTTTCTTTTTTTTTTCTTTTTTTTTTCTTTTTTAAGCAGCAAGTCTACAGAAAGGTAAATCACTGCGGATGGGCTCGAAGCTCATTCTGGAGTCTTTGGCTTATGTGGGAGAGGTATGCATTCGCAGGTGGCTGATCAGGTTGCGCTGCTGGGTGAATTTCCCACCACACAGTTGACATTCGTAAGGTTTTTCTCCTGAGTGGACACGCATATGCTCTGTCAGTCGGTACTGCCGGGTAAAGCGCATCCCGCATTCCTCGCAAGCAAAGGGCTTGAGCCCCAAGTGGCTGCGCATGTGCCGTGTCATGGTGCCCCGCTGTGTGAACATCTTGCCGCAGATGTTGCAAGGGAAGGGCCGCGTCAGCCAGTGAGTCTTCTCGTGCTGCCGCAGCGTGGCTGGATCCTTGTAGCTCTTCTCACACACTGAACACTTGAAGGGTCTGGATTCCGCGGCATATGACTGGTTGGGGTTTGACAAATCCTCGGCTTCATCTTTGCCGCCGTATGTGACTTCCTCCTTGATGTAAAGGTCTTCCTCGGTGTGCGTCTCCACATGGGCATTGAGCTGCTCAGAGCTGGGGAAGCCTTTGCCACAGGGGATACAGACATACAGGTTGTCACCATAGGCCACTGGCTCAAAACCCTCCTGCCGGTAGACATAGTTGGCACTAGTATGCCCGCCGCTCTCGCTCTCACTCTGGCCACTGTCATCACTGTTCTCCTTACCATTTTCCACCTCTTCCTTACACGGGTAGGGTAGGTCTGCACCATAGGCCCCAGCCAGACTCCGTTCCACAGACTTGGACAAGGACCCCAGCAGGATACCATTGGGCAGCCCTTCACCCTCGTCCCTGTCTTTGCCCTCCTCCTTTCGGTCAAAGGCGTTATCTTTCTTGATCCACTCCTTCTTGCGGGATGAATGCCGGAGGCCCTTGCGCTGGCTGCCCTCCGTCAGCGAGTGGTGGCACTCTTCGCTCAGATCCATCTCCATGGGGTCGCTGCTGTCTGCCATGCTGTGAGGGGCTCCGACTCCAGACTCGTCGAACGATGAGGCACTGTTGGCTGCGGGGGCTGAGGCTGATTGGGGAGAGCCATGCTGGCTTTCGCTGTGCTGCGTGTCATCATGGGAGGCTGCAGCAGGGAGTGACGGGCTTTTTTTGGACAGATCGAGGCCTAGCTCCTGGTCGCCCGTGCTCCCATTTGCACTGCTGCCCCCGGCGCCGTTCTTACTGGCTCCCCTGCTTAAGGAGTGACAGTTCTCTTGGTTGGAGCTGCTGATGAAGACCTCATCATCGGAGAGCTTTCCCTTTGACAGCTCCTTTGAGTGTGAGCCCTTCAACCCCTCATTTGACCCTGAATAGCGAGCTTGGATGACTGAAGCAGTGGAAAGTCTTTGACTCCTGGCAGATCTCCCAACACCAAGGCCACCGGCCTTGCCAGCAAAGGACTTGCCGTTCCGCTTCAGCTTCTTTCTGCAGAGAGCTGCCAGGTCAGGCAGTTGGAGGTAGCTTGCTGCGGTGAGGAGAGCATTAAAGTTCTGTTCACCAGGCTGGTCAGTCGTTAAGAGCTTACCAGTATAAATAAAGTCCAAGATCTGCCGGAACACGGTGGGGTTCACCATGTCCGTGTCTAAGTTAATCAGGTTGTCATGCAGGACAAGGGATTTGAAATACATGCTGCTGGCTGCCAGGATGTTTTTATGGGCACGGAACAGGGCATTTTCTACCACAATGATCACATCACAGAGGAAACCTTTGGCTCGTTGCTGGTTCAGCTGCAGTAGCAGTTGTTTGGCATGATTTGGCAGTTCCATCTCCACCTTCTCTTCCTTTCACCTTCACCTTACTACCTGCAAAACAGGAGGATGAGAGGTGTGAACCTGCTGTTTCTATTTGAACAAGTCTACGTTTAATAGACTGGCTTGACACAGTCCAGTCTATGTTAGGCTTGACACTGACTGAGGAGCTCCAAGTATGTTCAGCCCTGCAAGCTGTAATCCTGCTTGGAATACAGAGAGAAGTATTCTTCACACTAAGATTTGATTCAAGCCTTTCAAAAATCAGATTTGTAAATGTCTTTTTATAAAAGCAATCAAGGTTGGCTGGAATTATATTCAAAAGATGCCAGCAGGAAATCAATAGTTAGGCACAGGGGAAAGCTGTTTTCCTCTCCCAACACAAATCTGAAGGGAGGATGAGGAGCAAGAAAGAAAGGAAGAAAAAAGAAGCATCTACTTCATGGCCATTTGCATATCTGAGCATGTAAGTTAATTAGCATAAGCTGCAGCTTCCCTGCTCTAACATGTAGTTTATTTCTTGGCTCTTACATGTTGAAATCTTACAACACCCAGCTGTTTTGGGGTTGGGAAAATGTCACATAGCAACTAAATCCATTGAAGATTGAATTAATCACACTGAGGTGTGAATGGGAAATCTCCTTAAAGAGTATGAAAGGCTGCTTTAAAAACCACCACCCTGGCAATATCCACATCCCAGTCCATTGACATGAAGGGCTAGAATCCATCCTGAACTGAGTGAAATTCATGATACTGGGCTAGCTAAATGGCACCAAATGTTTTCAATCTGTTTTCTTAAGTTAATTCTGTCTTATTGTTAGTTTTGAAGGAGTTTGGGTTAAACTGATAGAGTCAAGTCACCTATCTCCAGTCTCAGTCTGTCTCCTCTGAAGTACTGGGAAGAGAGGAAAATTGTGATTACCTCTGTGTAGTTAATGTATTTCCCAAGTAGTATTCACTGTGTATTTTAGTTTAGATATTTATATTGGCTTTCCCAGTAGTATGGACTGTATGAAATACCTAGTTTGAGTCATATCAAAACTAATTGCAATTGCACATTTGGTAGGTACTACAATACATAAAAACTAGAATTTAAATCTGGGGCTGCATTCCAGAATCCAAGATCAATTTTTAATTTTTTTTCTTGAGTTTTTTGTTTGAAAATGCCGAATACTACTTGTAATGGGCATTTATCTGTTGATTTAAAATAGTTTCTGAGGTTCAAATGTAGGAAATAAATACCAAACATAAACCAGCCACCTTAAACCTCCCACTTCCTTCATTCCTTTCCCAGTTCATCCTACTCTAGAAACAGATTTCTCTTATTGAAGGAGGAGCAGACCTTAATGGATCAAAACTGGAAGAGGGGAGATTTACATTAGACATTAGGAGGAAATTCTTTAGTGTGAGGGTGGTGAGACACTGGGACAAGTTGCCCAGGGAAGTTGTAGAAGCCCCAACCCTAGAAGTGTTCAAGATCAGGTTGGATGGGGCTCTGAGCAACCTGATCTAGTGGGAGGTGTCCCTGCCCATGCAGGGGAATTGGAACTAGATCATCTTTAAGGTCCCTTCCAACTCAAACAGTTATATAATTCTATGTTTCTATGAAATTAAGAGCTTAAATTTTCTCTTTAAATCATCATCAGTGAATGTTTTTATTGCTTCTGAGTCCTATTACCACATTCTGTCCCATCAGATTTCAAATGAAGAAGTGTCAGACTGCATTATCTTCCCTCTGTGTCAAATATGTGTACACAAGAAAAAGAAATAAGGAGTGATACTGTCAATATTAAAGCAACCTCCATCACACCTGATTCTCACTAACTGGTATTAAATAGAAAGATTTAATTTAGCAGAAAGGTGGTACATTTACATCATCCATTTCTGAACAGCAAAAAGATTCTGCTTTATGAAAAAAGCTACCAAAAAGTAAACTAATCCATCCTCCTCTAGTGTTGCTGCCTGACTAGCCTGGTACCTATACTTTTACCAACAGACCTGCCAAGCAGGTGCCTTCCTTCTTCCACAGGACCCATTTCTTCACTTTGTTAGCTGGCCAGCCTGGTAGTTGGTTACACATCTGGTAGAATTTTGTGGCCCCTGTTCAGTGCACCAGCACTTAATTTAGCATCCACACTAGATCTCAGTGGCTTTGAATCTTGACCCACAGCTAAAATGGCTGCTCTGCTTTTCTGCTCTATATTGTTTCAGCTATGGACAGGAACCCAAGAAGATGGTGGATTCACCACTGTGCCTTTATGCACCTTAGTGTTGTTCCCAGAGGTGGCTGGCTTTAGAAGGGGTGGCAGCCAGAAGGAGGAAATACAGACTTGCCATGGTGCTAGACCATCTTCTCTGTCTATAGTGTTTCTGTCAGAGAAACTCGCCCTGCAGCATCACAAAAATGGGCATTACCACCAGTGAACAGTGTTGAGCACTTTAAAAACAGGTTTTGCTGTAATTAGTTAGAGTTGCAGCACCTAGGCAATGCATCTGGATCTACTGGCTTGCTTACAGAACTGCTGATTAGGAGGAAGAAGCAGCAGCACAGAGCCACCAAATACCCACTTTTATCTAGCCAGGCCAGTAGAAGCACTTAGGTCTGGGTCACTGAGATACATTGATAGGGAAGGACAAAAACATGGGCTTGCAACATAAGACAACATCTGTATATATAAATGTATCCTGCTCAAGAATAGCAAGAGACAGTTTACTACTACACTATTTTCACTACAAACATCATGGTGTTTTTCCATGCATATAACACAAAATCCCTGGATATGATTTTTAAGTGTTCCATAAAGTACAAAATCAGGAAAGGGAAGGAAACAGCACAGCCAATATTTTTTTTGCCTAAACAGACTAATAAAAAATAAGTATGCTACTGAAGTAAAAGTGAGCTTATTTCCCATTCATGTGGCACTTCAAGCAGAGGTCTAGAAATCTCTGTATACATGTTTGTCTAAGCCTTTGCAAAGAGTCAAGGCTTGCTGCATTTACTTACAGGAAATATTTTTAGATTTTTACTTTCTTTCTGCCTTAAATGATATTGAAACCAGGTAATGTGCCTGCAGGGAAAGCTCTGGAAATGGGCAGAATTATAGTTCTGCTTTTTACTGAACTCCATGAGGAAGATCATGTTATTATTAAACATCAGCATGTTCTGCAGCATAAAAATTAGCATAGTACAAGTTGGTTAAATTATCTCTATTTATCTTACATGTCAAATTTTACATAAGCATTCATGTTCAGTAGGACATAACTATGAGGTAGGTTATTACCTTTAGTGAATTTTAAAAGCAGTGGTCAGGTTTAAGCACTGTAACACTGCCTATCCAATTGAAATTTGTTAGCTGAAGTCTAACATGGATTTAGCAACCCCAACAAAATGAGTGTAATGGAACAAGGCAGCAAAACCTTGAGCCAAGTTTAGAGCCCCATGTTTAAAAGTTTGCCAGAATTGCCCAGCAAGGTCTTTTACCAGGACAGCAACATGGGTCGGAGAACACACCTTCGACTGACGTACCTTTGTTGACAAAAGCTTTAAAGCATCAACCTGGCTTGTGTATCTTGTGCAGTGCTGAACCAAAATAAATTCATTCCAGATATTTTCCAGAGCTGACCAGTTACAAATCCTTCTTTAGCAATGATGCATTTCAAAGGTGGGGGAAAAAGGGTGTGTTGGGAAACGTGTTAGTGAAAAAGAAGCAGGCATTGTTGCTTAATCTATGGCATTCCTAAAATCTCACTTCTACCTAAAAGCATGGGACCAGAGACAACTACGAGGTTAAGTCCAGTATGAAAGTTACCAGGTCTTCCAAAACAAATGGCAGGTGCAACCTTAGAAAGGCCTTGCTATCCATTAGTTTGCAGAGACTGGCTCTTAACAAACTCTGAACATTGGGTAACATCACCACCACCAATAAACAAAAGCTCAAAAAAGCCCTGAAAAAAACCAGTGGTTTATATTTCTTCTATCTCAGTATCATTTTTAAGAACCCTTCCTTTTCAGTTTTCTGCAAAAAGATAGAAAAAACATCATCTCAGTTCAAAGGAGTCCTGGCTCAGAAAAGGTTTAGATACATTTCTAGTAAAAAAATACAAATCCCAGACCTCAAGAATATGTACAGGTCTCACTGGGGCCACAGTTTTCTAAAATTGAATTTGCTGTGCAAAATTTCACTCCTTTGCATTTAAAACAGGATTACAGAAGGCTTTGGTTAAATAGCATTAGAGATGGCCTTTTTTCAGATTCAGATTCTAGCCATTTAAGAGACAGTTTTCAGAGCAACAAACCTTCTCAAATATTCTTGCTCGAATAGGGAATGAACCAAGACTGAGGCTCTCCACTACCTCCACCATATCCATGACACTGAGACACAGCACATGCAAAGACATGAAAATACAGGGCACGAATCACAGAATACAGAAATGCTGCAAGCAGATGCCACACATCAAACAAAGCTTCGCAAGCTGAGAGCTGATAGCATCCTCACAAGCAATACTGCCCAAGGAGACGGGTAACTGCAAGCCACTGTGCCCAGCCTGGGGCACACTGTGGTCTTGTGGGCATGAAGATCGTGCAGAACACACGGACTGCTCCAGGAGCTGTGCTGCTCTCACTACAAATTCTCAATTTCCACAAAGACTCTGGACATCACAGAGAATTAGATTGCCAAAGTACAGGAAAAGAGGAATCCCTTCACCCCTTTAATTAGCATGAAATCTACATATTCACTACAGATTTGATTCTCTTTAGTATCACTAAATCTCTTCCTAAAAGTAATTGCTGAATGAATGCTAAATGTGTTCTCTTAGCAACCTCTGGCAGGAGATGCTATTTGATTTCATCTCTGAGTTATAGATTGCAGCATATGAATATTGTTTACCTTTTAAGAAGCAACACCAGTGAAGCAAAGAATCAATCAAAAACAGATCTAAGGAATCACTCATTTCATGTAGAGGATTTGTGGATGGATGAGAAGGCTACACACCGAGCACCTGAACAGTGAACTAACAGTACTGCAGACAAAAACCAACAAACAGATTAGATGTGATGTATCAAATTAGATGCCGTTAAAGCATTAGCCTGCTGTGCATGTTATATCTAGGAAAAGATAGTGGCCTGCTTGTGTATTTCTCCACCTTCCCAAGCAGTAGTGCTGCACTGAGCAGGCACTGCAGCAGTGAGCCTGGGGAAGAACAAGACAAAATTAAATCGTTTCCTACATTGCTCTTTCCCACCAATTTACTTCTCACATTAAAAATGCTGCCTTCAGCTGCTGCTGGATCTGGGTGAAACTGAAACAGCTTCTGCACCCTTCACTTTCAGTGTACTAATTTTTTTTAAGCACCTGAAGAGTCCACTGGGAAGAGAGCTTTCCTGTTGCAGACTGACTCATCTGACCTTCCTCTCCCCGCATCCCAACAAAGCCTATTTACAGGACTCTCCAGAGGTGAGGTGGGCTTCCATGGCCACTAACCTTCCCCCCAGGAGCTACAGTTGGCAGGTCATTAGCCCATGCTTTGTGAAGATATTCAAATTCCAGAGCAGCAGAGGCATAGGAAGGAATGCAGGAATTGTGTTAGCCCAAATGGTTCCTTATCCTCACCCCTGGCAGCCCTACTCAGAAACAGAGGCAAGAACATGCATTTTCGTAATTGGCAGTAGAGCAGCAAAATCTCTATGAGGTTGGCTCAAGCAGAAAACAGGAGGCAGCACCACTGTTTTTCTCACAGGAACATCACTCGCTTCTAAATAGGGAAGACCAACATGTCAGGTTACTCGGAGAGAGGTGCAAAGCTTGGGAAGGGAGATAAAGCATCATGCAGGACAGAGCAGGATGTGCAGCTGATCTTGCAGGTGTCGACATGGAAAGGAGAAGGATAATGGAGGATCATTTCACAGAGGATACTACATCAGCAAACTTAAAGTGCCCTTTGTTTAGTTTGTTGCATTGCAATTACTGCCAGGCAGAACTGTCCTCCCAGCTCCCTGAAGTAGCTCTTGCAAGGCTCCCCAGAAACAGCATAGCTTTGCTTAAGGACACAAGCACCTGCTTGGTACCCCTGTGCAACAACGTTTGGACATTAGGTACATGGGCAATACATGCTCAACTGCTACCAGCTCCTGATTCAAAAAGGAGAGAAGAAAGAGACAGATTTTTCCAGTCCCTTCTCTTTCCTGTTCTAGGGGTACAAGAGCCTGACATGGCTGGGCCCTTCTCTACTGCATGGCAGACTGGCCAGGGATGGGGAATCTCCACGGGTGAAAAGGGTAGGGGCCCTGTATGCATGAAAGCACTAACATAAGAAGAGCAAAGTGATTTCCAGTCAGTGCAAGGCTCCAGCAAAGCAGAAACACCTTCCTGTACAAGCTGAGACTATGAGCAGTAGAATGCAGAGTAACCACTTGGTTGCCGCTTACCATGCCAGGTACATTGGGCTAAAGGCACCTCCATCCAGTGCTGCCCGACGTGCCAGGTACATCCCATGATGTTCCATTGAAATCACAACAGGCCATCAATAGAACGTGGCTGCACGGATGCAGAATGGAGAACCAGCAGGGACGCTGTTAAATGCAATTAAAAAACTGCAATCAAAATTGAAAGGTACATTTTAAAATGGCCACCTGCCTTAAATATGTAACTACTAAAACAACCTTCCCTCCACCCATCTCCCCAGAACTGCTGAACTGTGACAGCAACAGAGCAGAAGGCCTCTGCAAACTTCTTGATGACTCTCTCTGGCCGCCGCCATTCAGGACTCCCAATGGCACTGACCTCCAGAGAGACCCATCCATTATATATCCAAGAACAGCAGATCCCAGGATGTCTGCACCTGCTTCCTCCTGCCCAGAAATTCAGGCAACTAAATATCACCATATACAAATCCCTCTATAATGAGAAGAACCTGGTGCCAGAGCTTCACAGCCTTGCTCCCCACACAGCACAGGCAATGGAAGAAACACTTAAACACTGATCCTCTGTATTGTTCCCATTTCCCTTCCCAATTCCCAAGCCTCTGAAATCCTGCTCTTCTAGAGATGTAACAGAATCGGGCCAGGCTGGGTCCTTTGGCTTTTGTTTTCTCTGTGGTGCAAGATGGGAAAAGAAAATACTGCGTAATATCCTCTTCTATTCATAATGGTGCTTCACTGATAATTTAATCTATTTTCTTGGAGACTGGAGATCATGTTGAGCCATGGTGAACTGCAGTTTGTATGAGAGTTGCAAAACTGAAGATCTACAATTCCCCCCTTCCATGCCCAAAGGAAAAAGCAACAACATCTTTCTGTGTCAGGGAAAGGCACATCCCACAGACACACAGCTTGTCAAGCTCAGGGTATGCTCTGCAGTTCATGTCCTCCTTCCCCCTGAGTTCTTGTGATCAGTTCCAGCAGTGTTATCAGGAAGGAGAGTCTCAGACCAGATGCTAAGTACGGGTCCCTCTCTACAAGTGGTGATGCTGTCCCAGTGGAAAACAAACAACAAAACCAACCAAGCAAAAAAACCCCAAAGAAACAACCCAAACAGAAATAGGGCTGGAGCTTCGGAGAGGTTTAAAATAGGTTTTTAGACCCTCATGATGAAGTTAAACTTCTGCATAGCCCTTGTCACATTGATGGCTGCATGTCCTCAGCTGTGTTAGAGAGAGATATCTTGCATTTAAGAAGAATATTGATTATAATTTGCAACCTTAAAAGATAAAAAGGACAAATGAAAAAAAACCTTACAGTAATTAATGTAGTTGGATGATAGAGAAAGTAAAGGAGCACACCGGCCTGGCAAATAGAAAGTGTCTTTGTTGAAAAGACACTGAATATAAGGAGAGAGTTCTTCCTTCTTCCTGAACTTCTGCTGGGCTCAGGCCCAGGATGGTGTTCAGATCTTTCCCACCTGCCTTCTCATCCCCACAATCTGTAATTAAATCCCTTTCACACTGAACAAACAGTTCTTTTGTATTCAGATCAGCCTGTTTTGACTGTGATAGACTGAAGATTTTTAAATCTTGTCAATACAATGAAGAAGTGAAATGTAAGCGTTTGCCTACTGACCTGGGCTATGTGAGCCAAAAGCATTTGCTGAACTAGCCTGAACTGACCACTGCGGGCACGGGCAGGCCAACTCACATTTAAATAGCATGCAACTTTAAGCATAATGGCCAGAACCTTAGGGATTTGGAGTTCCCCCCTCTTCAAGAGATCACACATTTGAGACTGCATATAAGCAACCTACTACTGGTTGCATCTGCCAGCATCAGAACTCCACAAAACACTCAGCAATACCAGCAGCGCTCAATTTAAGAAAGGCTGAATGCTGCATAAAGGTATTTCTTGGACAGGTTTTGAGCCAGCAGCTCACATGCAGATTTACACCGGATTACAGTAATTTGCTTCTTGCTACAATGAAGCGAGCAGCTCTTCCCCATAGTTGTATTCCCTCTCTAGGGCAGAGATTAGCAGAGACCTGCTTAAAACAAAGATGTTTCCTACTGTTAGAACATCACCCTGCAGTCAGAAAGGAAGCTTCCTGCCAATTCCTGTTGGATATTATATATTTATTTTCACTACTGACATAAGCAGCCTAAGTCTACCCAAACCCTTTAGTGGGAGGAGAAGAATAGAGGCATGGGCATTGTAGATCTTGTCAGGCAGAGCCAGGCACTAAAAATTCCTGCATATCTGCAGAGCACAGTTGATCTCAGGAACACAGCATCGGCACAACACAAATAAAACCTCAGAAGCTTCTGAGCAGCCATAGATGTTGGGCTTCTCTGCAGCCCTGCAACAACTGAGTAAACTTAGCTCCAACTGTACCTGCACCGCAAGTGGCAGAGGCAGCTCTGATGTCCCATGCTAATCTAAAGGCTCTTTATTGCAAAGCACCCACACATTCACTAGCATAGCTCAGCTCACTCAGGAGGGATACCCTCTATCCTTCCACTAGTGAAGGTCCCTTTGGTATGCAAAATTCCTGCTTCCCAGCTACCTTTGAGCCTTGATGTATAGAATTCTCCCTTTACAATGCAAGAATTTAGGACATGACTAAAGGATTGCTGCTACCTCCCAGCTAATCCTAGAGAGCACTCAGCAGAATCAATAACCTTGTGAATTACATGAAGTGAGAAGATGCTTCTGGTTGTAGAAGCAGTATGGCACACCAGAGTTAGCAGAGGTGCAGAGGGTGGCAGCTTCGTGCTGGACATTGCTCTGAGGGCAGAAGCACACAGCCCCATGGAGAAGATGCAAAGTCATGACCCTTTTCCAGCTTTTCCCAAATATCTCACAGCTCCCTCCCAGTTGCAGCACAGCTTTAGGGCTCTGAGTCATCACAGGTACAAGCTGATAGCTGGGTTGTGAAATGCAGCAATACTGAAGCAAATACACAGCCCCTTCACCTGTCCCTGCAACTAGGGAGAGATCTCCAGGACAGGGATGAGGCAGGCATTAGACTGTTAAATCCACTAGTGATTGTGACTCAGACCCCTTAGTTACAGAGAGTGTTAGAGCAAACAGGACTTCAGAGTACTGGGAAAAATGGGAGATGTTTTGATAAAGATCTTCCCAATTGGCCTGCTTATTTTAATTTCTTGTGTAGACTCAGCAAACTTTTCTGCAGAGAGGAGCAGTCTGCACAGAAGTATCTGCATCCAGAGTACTGCTAATTTCATGAACTTGTTGCAATAGTTAACACTGAGCTTCATGCTGAGGATTGCAGGAAGGACATGGGTAGTAACAGCCTTGGACCAAAATGTCATCTCTCATCACATGCCAGATACCAGTGAGCACAGAAACAAACTTTGCTGTCTCATTTTCTTCTACATGACGAAATCTCATTCCCTTATCTCATGCACACCTGAAAATGCAGCAGCAGCAGTTCTCCTTAACACAAATAATCACTGCCTTACATACAGCACCGTCTGTACTTTATCCACTATTTTTTCCTCTTTTTTTTTTTTTTTTATTTGCCAAGAACTGACCGCTACTCAGCCCTATACCTCCCAGAGAAATCTTTGTCTCTAAGCTGCACTCCTGTAAAGCCTTTCAAGCCAACCACTGTTTAAGAATGAGTTCTAACAGTATCAAGACTGCCTGCCAAACTTCTCTCCAAATCAGATGCTTTGCTGATCCTCCTGAACCCTCCCTCATACATTTGGTTCTTTGCAACCACCAAGAAGTGCTTCTGCAACTCTGAGCACAGCAAACAATGATGCCAGAAAGCCATGATTTTGTTATAAAAGCTGAAGGACCAAGAGACTCAAAGTTTTGCAAACTGCCTGCATTGCATCCCAATCTGTTCAAGCTGAACATAACATAAGGAGAAAGCAGGCTTTACTCATTTTCAAAATTCTTAATTTCTTTGGCTGCCTCTTCTCAACCACTGCTTCTCATTTTGACTGCTTTATTCCTCCATCTTCTTCACTTGAGACTTCAGACTTCCTTTAAATTACAGGCTGCAAGGAGATCCTTCTACATATGCTTCTAAAATCCTCCTCTTCCCAGCAAGGCTCCCATCCTGGTCCCACAGCTCTGCACAGCAGTGGTCCAAGGCTGCAGGTGTGCATTTGGCCAGCCTTCTTTGGCAGTTTCTCAGCTTTGGGGATTACAGCCCAAGGCATGTTAAGAAAGGCAGCCCTGGAAGGTCATAGGGTGTTGAAAACTTTGGTACAATCCAAAGCAAAGGTTCTTCCTCCTTTCCTTCCCTACGTAATGTTCTTGTCAAAGTCAAGGATTTTCTGGCAGCCCTCAAAGCACACAAATTATAGGCTCTTGTCATGAATCAGGACCTAAAACATCTCTTCATTTAAAAAAAAAAAAAGTCGAAGGAGAGGAGCAAAGCAGAGGGGAAGGTACTTTTGCACCAGATTTGGTTTTGAAAAGGGGATTGGCAGCCTATGCATGTGCTTTACCCTGTAATCTGGGAGTTCCCAGGACAGGACAGGAAAAGCATTTTATACTGAACTATACACACACCCCACAGCAGAAGAACCAGCGGCTCCCCGCATCCGCTCCCGTCTGCTCAGCTTCTCCTAAATCAACACTGCCAGAAGGCAAGACAACACTATAACAAATTAGCACCACTCACAATTTATTGAAGTTGTTGTTCCATTGTTTGTTTATTTAAAACATGCGCATGCACACGCACACAAACCTCCCAAACTTGCTCTCTGCTGCCATCACCCCAACTCCAGATTTCTAGTCTCAGAGAGAGGGGCAAGCAAAGGCAGTGGATTAAACCCATGCAGAGCAACACTCACTGTGCTGGGACTCTGCCTGGGTTTTGCTCTTTCACTACTAGCAAAACAAAATTATGCCCAGCCTGGAAGATCAAGGTGTTGAAATGGTTACTTCAGCACTTGATGAGGAAACCGTTGTTAAGAGAAAGAAAGAGCCACGGACTCGAAAGGACCCAGCGGTAATAAAACTCTTAGTGCTAACCCTATTTATGAACACCCAAGGGATAATATGCATCCCTTATCAGCCCACAAGATTATTAGATCTTTAAAATAGGAAATATGTTTTACTTCATAAAGCACTGTACAAGTTTATAAAGAACAAAATCAGTGGTA